CCCCAAAACCCCAAAACCCCAAAACCCCAAAACCCCTCAAACATTTAGCTAGATTGAAACTTTATAATCATTTTAAACATCTCTTTGCACAACTGAAAATCCTCTTGAACTCTTCTGATGATGTTCTGCAGTCTTTGCCTTCATTCTATAATTACTGCCATATTTGGTCTTCTGTAACTTCCCTAAATTTATTAGCAAGACTAAAGGTCTACATGAAGGATTTCTGTGAAAGGATTTCTCCTCTACTGATTGAAATTTATTCTCTTTCGCTTCATCAGAATCTCTCCTTGAGGTTTGAATTCCTTCTGGATATCTAATATTTGACTTCCTTTCATTCTTGATTTGCTTTTTAAAAGTCTTGCCTCACTTAATAACTGAATAATTGCCTCCCTTTCTCTGTATCTTGAAAGGCTTGGACATAGTGATCTTGGTAGCAACACTAGAGGCACTGTCTCTATTTTCTGATTTGAAAGTACCCTTGATCATGGTGTTGTCAAGAGAACTAACCAATTCATCCTTACTGAGCTTCGTTCTATCACAAGTTCCAGGGGAGAAGATGCTTGATTTAGGGTTGAAAATTGAGCTATAGTTATTAGATCCCTTTGTTAATCTCTGTGAAGTATCTACTATGGAGCTTGGCTTCAGAGCTTTGAGTGATGTAATGTTCGACTTCATTCAAGTCAGAGGCTTTCTTTCTATACTCTGAGCCCCTCTAAAATCTTCATATTTTGATTTAGCCTTAAGCTTAGGCAAGGGTTGGATCAAAATCCTATTTTCTCTTCTAGACTTTGATCTTCTAAACTTATCTTTTAAGTTATGGATGGTGTCAATCACTTCTGGAGAATTCTGTAGTGTAGAATTTTTGATAGTCGATGCAGATACAAAAGAATCTTCATGTTTGCTAGAAGGAACTTCAGGAGAATTAGATTCTTGTGAAATCTGAATGACATTTTCCGTTGATATCCTTTTACTTTCAAATTTAAACTCTGAATTGTTTCTCACTCTTTGAGTATATTTTGGTGTGTTATCATTAACCTCTTCTTCGGTCAGAGAAATATTGCATTTATCATCTTTAGTATATTTCATAAGAGGATTATCTAATGTTTTCTCAAAAAGATTAGCTGATTTGAGAGACTTATCAGCATCCTTTTGCCCTAAATCAGCCAAATTAGTTGATAAATTAAGTCACTTCATTTTTGAATCATGCAAATACCCTGCGTACAAAGAATTTGAATGGTAATTTCCTATGTAGCGATTTCTTCCCTCCTTGTGATGATAGAGTTTCTCTACCAGTTTTCTTTCAGGAGTATTTTTATGTGCTAGTTTGTCCATAAAGATATACGAAAAACTCTTTTTCTCGTCATTTTCAATAACTCTGTCTTCATTCAGAGCGCTTTTGTCCCTTTGGCTATAGAAGTTTTGGCCTTCAGAAAGATTTGCACTCTGACTGAGGTCGACCATAGCTTTGTTATAATCTTTCTGTAGGTCCTGCAGAGCATTATTCTGAAGGCCAACTACAGACTTGTATCTCTTAGAGTCAGCAGAGGCTCTTGTTAGCATTCTGTTCAGTTTATCGAAGCGGTTCTGGAGGATACATCTCTCCCTTTCCAGAGACATATTTTTGCTTTTAAGCTCACTATTTTCCATCTTGATTTCATCAGTTTCGTTCTGAAGGTAACTATAGTTCTCTTTTTCTTCTTGAAGTTTACGAGTAAGGATTTCTATTTGGTTGCCCAACTTTCTGATTGAGATATTATCCTGCCCTTTCTGGGTTCTTAACTTCTTGACTTCGAGTTCAAGATCTTTTCTTCTCTGTTTTTGCTGAATAAGCTCTCTCTTAAGTTCATCCTCAAGCTCTTTTTGAGCCAGCAGTTCAGATTTTAGATTAGAGTTCAGATTATTCAAAGTGAAGATCTGATCCTTATTTCTGTTTTAAACTCGCTTTATACTGGAAAATAGTTGATTTCCGGGCATCTATTTTTGCCTTTGAATTTTCTATCACAGATGAAGCTTCTGATTTATTTTGTAAGCAACTCATCACTTTTACACAGGTTTTCTTCTGAGTTTGTATTGGAGCTCGACTCTAGTTGAAATTGTTTCCCCAGAATCAATGGTTCAAGATCTCCTTTTGACACTAAATATTTTAAAAATTTCTTACTGGGTGTGTTTTTATTGAGAACTTGGAGGAATTTAACTTTGTCAGATTCTTTCTCTAAAGCCTTAGCTACCACTCTACCTTCTTGTAGCTTAAGAATGAGCTTATTGGAGTCGGACATTTGGGTCTTTAACTTCTGAGCCTTTATATCTGAATCCTCCTTCTTTTGATACAGGGTTTCATAATCTTTGTTCAAACATTGGATAATGTTTTCATAATGAGCAATGATTATTTTGGGGTTCTGCACCATCATCTCTTTATTAGCCTGGGAAATATCTGGGCTTAAAGCCGCATGAATTGAAGGAGGTCTTTTAAAATACCTTCTACTTGTGTGATGTTCTGGATGCTCAATATCCATATTCAGCTTTTTATGGAGAGGAGAATCCACTCAATAATTACTTACGTTGTTCTCTTCTTCAGAAATAGCCTCGAATGTGGGAGATCTGTATTTCTTACTTCCCTCACTACTCATTGTAAAAGTCTTCATCTCATTTGAAGCGAAAAATTGTGGGTATACATTCTCACTTGATTTGTAAGAAATATCTGGCTTTTCTTGATTTAAACTATGAATTTTAGATCTACAATGAATACCTTCTATTTTTAGAGCTGAGTATTTCATGCTTCGAATGTTCAACTTTTGAAAGATTTTTAAAGTTACTATCTGACCCAGATATCGATGAAAGTAAGGGAGCAACAACTCCATCTGAAACTCGTAGATTTTTATCACTTCTATCATCAGCATTATATCCATACACTAATTTACTATTTTTCTTCTGATGATTTTCATTTGATTGTCTTAAATTAGGAATGAATCTTGAAAAGGTAGGTTGTCTTGAAATAGACTTTTCCTTGCTATCCTCAATCACACTCTTATCTTCAACTAATACAGGTATTTTATGACTTATACTAGAATCTTCAATCTTGCTGATTGAGGATATATTGAGATGCTGCTCTTGGTCACTGAGATCGTCAAGAATATTCTCATTATCAGCACTTTCAATAAACTTCTTGATATTCCTTTCTTTTCTCTCCATACTAGAGTTCATGCTCTCTGGCTTTGACTCTATTTGCTCATATTCAATCCTTTTATTAGGATTCTGAGACTTATTTTCTTCAGCTTCTTTGTGAAAATACTGCTGATAATCATCCTTCTTGTGGCTACTGGCATTATTCGAAGTAAGATCTTCATAATTATTTGATTTAGCTAAGGAATAAGTAGAAGCGTTTCCATCTTTCTCTTGCTCACAACTGAGAACTTCTGTTGGGACTCTTTTGTTCTCTTCTTCAACTGGAAAAATATTTGAGTGACTCTTGCTCCCTTCTTTCATCTGGTGACTATCGTTAAAGTTTTGAGGATTATGTAAAGGACTCATAGCCATTGGGATCTCTTTCTGGAGACTATCTTCAAAATATTTGAGTAATCTTGAGTTAATATTACTGCTAACATCACTATAGTTTGAAGAGACAAACATATCATGTTTCTTTCCTTCATTGTTAAGATAACTGGTACTTTTATAAATTTGATTAGTATACCCACTTTCTTCCTCAGATTTCTCAGTGATTCCTGAGAGATACTGGCTTTGGAATAGATAAGCATCTTTATAGCTCTTTATCTGAGCTTGAAGAGAAAAATTCTCAAGGTCATCTTTATTATGAATTGACTTCTCTTCATTATTTTGTCTGAAATCTTGAGCTGGTACTTCAAGATAGAGTCCCTAATACGTTATTCAAAAGATGATTACCTTTTCCTCCTCGTTTCGGTGCTCTATAGAACTGAGCTTTCTTTTATCAGGGTCTTGATATCGGACCTGAATCATAGTATTTCTGGGCACTTCTTCCTCAGATATCAAAATATGGTTGGATTCATCATTAGCTTTTGAATATGAGTATCTTCCTTTAGATTTAGAGTCTACTTTCGCATCTATAATAAGAGTTATATCTAATTTACCCAAAACAAGAGGTTCTTCTTCAATTCTCATTTGGTGTTGAGCAGCAGACTCAGATTCGATTTTCTCTACTTCACTGAAACGCCTTAGCTGGGTAACTTTAGAATCTCTTCAATCAAACTCTGTGATGCTGATCTTCTCTTCATCTAGTCGTGTGAATTCTAGGGAAGGAGTATCTGGATCATCTGTAATAGTCATTCTTTCACTTGTGGGTGGTTTGTCTCCAGATACTTGGTGTAGTTCCTTATGGAAATTAGGATGGTACTGGTCTCCTACCTTATTAATCCCCTCGATATATTTTTCCTGCATATTCTCAGTTTCATATACCATCATCTTTTTACCTTCCAGCCTTGAGCTGAGAGGTTCAGGACTCGAAGAGCTATCATTTTCAAAATTCCCTGACGATTTTGAATTTGAAGAGGAATTTGAGCACTCTCTTTTTTCATCTATTTTTCTAGCCTCAGATTGTCTTATAACTGTTATGTTATTTTTAGACTGAGGAGTAAACACACTTTGACTAGTCTCCTCCATATTGGGCTCATCAGAAACATTGTTGGGATAAATTTCTTTATTAACTGTCCTCTCAGAGTTTCAATCTTGCTTTAAATATATAAGCTTGTCTAATTGATAACTACTATTGCTCAAACGAGCTCCACGGGAATGACTTGAATTGGTCTTTTGCTTACTATCTTCTTCCATATTTTTGATTCTAAATTTATATAGCCACTTTACCATTCTCTAGTATGATGGATACCGCTAGTGATAGGAGATAGGGAAGTTTCTGGCATCAAATAGTCTTTGTCTCCACTTGAATTCTTATCCGCAAATGATTTCCGAGATCCATCTTTCCTGTCCTTTATCAACTGCTGATGTTTTATATTTAACCTCTTTGTCTTTATATATTGGGGAGAAGGAGTATTTGAAATAGATATGGTGTTTTCATATATCTTTGTCTGCTCTCTCACCTTTAAATAATTTCCTATTAAAGTATTATACCTCTGGATCAGAACATGCAGACAAAATAGAAAAATGAGAGCTCTTAGGGATATCTGCCTTACCTTTTCCAGTAGACATTTCAAATTTCAAATTTAAATATAACTGGGCGAATTGGGGTTTTGGGGTTTTGGGGTTTTGGGGTTTTGGGGTTTTGGGGTTTTGGGG